CGCCGATCGCCACTCCCCTTGTCTCGAGGCGAAGATAGTCTCTGCCGTCCGTTTTGATGGGAAGCAGGTGAGGTCCGTATTCCGTCAGTGACGCCTCCTCGGCTTCTGGTGCTTCTTCAGGGATTTCTGGTTCCTCTGCTGCTTCTTCTGCAGGTGCGTCGGCGATGTTGCCCCATCCAGTTTCAGCTGCGATGGCTTCGCCCAGCGCTGTGTTCTCCATGATTTGACGCATATCAACTCCGTCCCATCCTTCAGTTGTGTTCCAGCCGGTGGGGTGTTTGACAGGTGGCCAGAAGGTTTGCGTGCCTGTTGGCTCAGCTGTTTCAACTGCCGTTTCTGATATAATATCTTCTCCTTCTTCCACTGCTCGCGGTCATGTTTCGGCAGGGTTTGTTGTTGAGGCGACGGGTACGGCAAGGGCGCGGAAGGTGCCGTCAAGGCCGGGTTGCTGATAGTCGGTTTCTTCTGGGTGGCTCCATCTTGGTGGCGACGGCTGACCCGGAGGGTCAAGAACGAGGATGTGTTCGTTGTCGCCGGTGGTTCTGGGCGACTCGAAGTCGAGCACGAAAACGCCTTCCACACTTGTTGCCTTTTCGATGAAGATGCCGTTGTATATTAAGTGCATTTCGTCTTCTGTCGTTTGCAGGCCAACTCCGCACTTCATCAGTTGGTGGAGCGATAGAAGATTGTACCGAAGCTCCGGCACAATGAGAACATCGCTGATGTGGATGCAGTAGCCGGTGTCGTGTGAATCCAGTTGCACTTGTCCACGGCTTCTGGCGTAAATGGTTTGGCTATTGGCGACGGTGATCTCCACTTCGTTGAAGAGTTGCTTTCTGTTGAGGATGAAGACATCCAAAGACACCATGTGCTGACCACAGCAGCTGTCCAGGCACCACGTGTTGATTTCCTTTCTTGCCTTGGCCAGGTTGGCAAGCTTCGGAGTGATGTGATGGTCCATGTCGTGATTACTTTCGTAGTCGTAGTAACATTCTTCGTCGTCATCTACGATGCGTGCAGGTGGTGACTCCTGAATCCACTCCGGCGCTTCCCAGTCAAACTGCATTCGTCCAACCGTCAACTTGTCGTAGGTTGGATCATTCTCCACTTCTTCTTCGACTGTTCCTTTGGGCCGCTCCTAAGGCGGGTCTGCGAACATGTCTTCCTAGTTGCGGAAGAAGCGGTAGTGAGGGTTGGGGCGAGGCGGTCCACGATGCACCATGCAAGTCAAGACCTTGCTTTTGCCCTTATCGCTTGTGTTCGCAGAAAGACGCGCCGGGGCTTGGGACGTGCTGGCAACGACACAGTTTGGTTGCGCGCTGCAGCTCCTACTTGCTGGTGAGCAGCGGCACCCTTCTGGTTGTTGTTGTTGCCGTTCAGCTTCCAGCAGTCTTGAATCATGTGCCCAGTCTTCTTGCAGTACTTGCCGAAGAGTCTTTTCTTGTCCGGTGGCGCTTGAGCGTAAAAGGCAATCTTCTCCTTCTTGTTGCCTCGTTCGTTGTACAGGTCGATTTCCTTCTGCTCGGAGAGAAGTGTGGAGCAGAGGGCAGTTTCGCTGAGAGTGCCTTGTGTGCAAAGGAGGGACTTACGTTGGCGCCATTCCGAGCTCAATCCAGCAAGGATGATGGTGACGAACATGTCGTCAGAGAAGTTGCCGCCGCTTTTCCTGAATTGATCTCTCACGTTCCTGCAGCGGTTGACGTATGGTCCGGCCTTTTCGCCGGGAAACATCTTGACGTTATTCAGCTGGTTGAGCAGGCAACTGAGTGTCACCGAATCTGTTGCCATATGGTAGGTGCGCAGGTGTTCCCAGGGCTGTTGCGCGGGTGCCCACTCGTTTTTGAAGGGGCGAATGCTCAGCTGTTCTTCGAGCGACAGGTTTCGGATCAGGACGGTGAAGGCCAGGAGTGATTCGTTGTAGTATTGCGTCTTGTCTTGAGGTGAGCCGTTTGTTGGAAAAGGATATGATCCGTTGTAGTACATCCAGATTTGAGCGCCCTGAGCTAGTAGCTCAAATTCGAAGCTCCACGTGTAGAAATCTTGTCCGTTGAAGGGCTTGGTAGTTCTGAGCTTCGACATGGAGAGGAACTTGCTCTGCATTGAAGCCATTGCCTCGTAATGTGTCTGTTGTGCTTGAGCAGGTCCTTGAGCTCCGCGGTTGTCGAAGGTGAAGGATTGCTCAGATCCAGCTCCTTGAGGATCGGGAGGTCTTCGGGCGTAACTTGAGCCGTCAATGCTCATTGGCTGATGGCTCTCCAGTGCGCTGATGCGGGAAATTAGTTGCTCGAGTAGAGCTATGTCCACGGTCGTCGTGGTAGAGGCGACATTGGTGGAGGGTTGTACTTGATTTTCTCCAGCTTCTCCGCAGTCTGCGCCTGGCATGCTGATGCCCTTTGATGTCGTTGTTCTTGAGATTTAAGTTATGAAGAAGCATTTGTTGGAAGCCCTTTTAGCAGATCCTATAATCCAAACTTGCTCTCATACCATGTTAGAGGAAGGATCTTCGATAGGATAGGAGGTGCTTTGGTAGAGTTGGTAGCGGAAGTCTTGTAAGAACTCAGATCATAGTTAATGTAGATGACCAAGTTGATTAAAAGATAGAACACAAGGAATATAAATAGTCCTAGTCTAGCCATTTACTCTAAGGGGTACATTCCCTTATTATAAATGTTTTACAGGCATTTCTACAGTGACTCTGACTGTTGTACTGCCTTTCTTGTTACCGAGTCGCTGCATTTAGCCTGTACGGTTACGCCTGTTGCCATTCCTCGATGGTGAGTCAAGCGTCGGTCGAGATGGTCAACAGTCGCGACAGTTGACTCTTGCGACTGTTGACCTTCCTGCCCTTGTTACGGGCTGATCCGATATTGCGGTAGTTGCTGTTTCGATAGAGTCAGGTGCGATACTGCTGCACCTACGGGAATGCTAAGTATGATTCCCTTCACACTCCAATAGCCTTGCAGTGCCTCTGCTCGCGGCGCCGCGCCTCCGATCGCCTCGCCGCGTCTCCGCTAGCCTCGCCGCGCCTCCGCTAGCCTCGCCGCGCCTCCGCTAGCCTCGCCCCGCCTCCGATTATCTCGCCGCGCCTCCGATTACCTCGCCGCGCCTCCGCTCGCCTCGCAGCGCCTAAGCTCGCCGCGCCGCGCCTTCGATCGCCTCGCCGTGCCTCCGCTCGCCTCGCCGCGCCTCGCTCACCTCGCCGCGCATCCCTTGCCATCAGTGCGCCAGCACCCTCGTCGCGCTGCCCCTCCTCACGCCTCCACTCCCGCTGCCCTTCTCCCACCTGCCCATATCTTGCCCTCGCTTCCCTGCACTTTCATTCCCACGTGTTACCTTCCCCTTATTTTTGCCTATGCTTCCCCTCATTCCCTTCCCCTCATTTCCCCCTCTCCTTCCCCTCCCCTTCTTCCCCTCATTTCTCCGCCTGCTTCCCCTCATTCTTCCCTCTGCTTCCCCTCATTTACTCCCCTGCTTCCTCTCGTTTTCCCCTCTGCTTCCCCTATTTCCCCCCTGATTTCCCTAATTTTTACCCTCCTGCTTCCTCTCGTTTCCTGCTCTACTTCCCTTCATTCCTCCCTTTGCTTCCCTTTCTCCTCGTTCCCCTCATTTACCCCGCTGCTTCCCCTCGTTTCCCCGTCTGCTCTCATTGTTTCCCCCTCTGCTTCCCCTAATTCCCCCCCCTCCTTCCCCTCATTTCCCCCCCTCCTTCCCCTCATTTTCTCCCCCTCTTTCCCCTCATTTCCAGCACTGCCTTTCCTCATTATCCCTCCTGCTTCCCCTCCACCCTGCTTCTCCTCATTTACTCCCCTGCTTCCCCTCATTTCCCTCCTTGCTTCATCCCATTTTCTCCCTGCTTTCCATGTTTGTACCCTCCTGCTTCCCCTGATTCCCCCCCTTGATTCCTCTCATTTCCCCCCTTGCTTCCCTCATTTCCCTCCCTGCTTCACCTCATTTCCCTCCCTGCTTTCCCTGTTTTTACCTGCTTCCCCTCATTCCCCCCCCTGCTTCTCCTCATTTCCCCTGCTGCTTCCCATGATTTCCCCCTCTGTTTCACCTCGTTTCCCTCCCTGGTTCCCCTCGTTTCCCCCTCTTCCTCCCCTTGTTTCAACTTCCTATCTCTCGCTTTCCCTCTCCCGCTCTTCCCTATCTCCCCTCTTCCCTATCTCCCCTCTTCCCTATCTCCCCTCTTCCCTATCTCCCCTCTTCCCTATCTCCCTCTTCCCTATGCTCCCTCTTCCTACAGTATTTTCTTCTTTCCCTCTCACTCTCTTCCTGTCTCCTCCTTCCCTTTCCTCCCCTCTTCCTATCCCCTTTCCCATCGTCTTATCTCCCCCTTTCTCTTCCCCCCTGCTTCTCTCTCCTCTTCACCCTCTTCCCTGTCTCCCCTATCTCCACTCTTCTAATCTCTATCTGTTTGACTTTTTTCTTGCTCCCCCTCCCAATCCCTTGTATTCTCTCCCTCCCCCTGGCTATTGCAGTAAACCACTGAAGTTTTTTCTGGTACTTCAACTCACCTCTACCCATCATCCCATCCCATGCTCGTAGAGTTACAGTTCCCCTCCTGTGTTTTTTCAGGGCCTTGAGAAAGGTTCAGTCGTATATGTATTGCTTCCCTTGACCCTTGCCTACAATCAAAAGTATTAGAACATGCGTACATGCCTATGCATCTTAGAATAATATCTTGCACTGCAGAAACAAAAGTACCGTACATAGTGTGCCTTTGGGATGCATATCTCCAACAGTAATACAGTACGATGCGCGCATACAACAGACACGTAACAGGTGGTGTTACGGTGTAAAGCATCGACTAGCTGCGCCTCAGCTAGCAATTGTTGCTCCTTTGCTTCACCATTGAAAAATAGGGGAATGGAGAAGGCAGAAAGAATTGTGTGAAGGAACATGGGGGAGGTGGTGTGAGGTGCAAGGGACCAACGGCAACAGCAACGGCACATGATGAAAGCGTGTACGGGGAGACAGTGATGGGTCCACATGCATGGGAACTAGAGAGTGGTAGGTGAGTAGTGAGGGGGACGGGGAAGGCATGAAAGGGAAGGAAAGGGTTGAGAAGGGATGGGGAAAGGAAGCGCAGGGCAGGGAGGGAAAGGCAGGGATAGGGAGGGCAGGGCAGGTGGGAACATGGCAGAGGGGGGGGGGAAGGAGGGCTGAGGGTGGTGGGAAGGATTGTGAGAGTGCGGGAGGAAGGAGAGAGATAGTGTGGGTGCGAGGAGAGAGAGAGAGAGTGCGGGAGGAGGGAGAGAGAGGGTGGGAAGAATGAGAGATGGCGGCAGAACGGAATGGGAGAGGGTGGGCGGAACAGAATGAATAAGAAGGACACCTGGGCAGAGATTATGGGGGGGAGCAGGGAAGGGGATGGGGGGAAGCAGGGAACGGGATGGGGGGAAGCAGGGAAGGGGATGGGGGGAAGCAGGGAACGGGATGGGGGGAAGCAGGGAAGGAGATGGGGGGAAGCAGGGAAGGGGATGGGGGGAAGCAGGGAAGAGAATGGGGGGGAATAGCGAAGGGGATGGGGGGAAGCAGGGAGGGGGATGCGGGGGAAGCGGGGAAGGGGATGGGGGGGAACAGGGAAGGGGATGGGGGGAAGCAGGGAGGGGGATGGGGGGGAAGCAGGGAAGGGGATGGGGGGGAACAGGGAAGGGGATGGGGGGAAGCAGGGAGGGGTATGGGGGGAAGCAGAGAGGGGGATGGGGGGAAGCAGGGAGGGGTATGGGGGGAAGCAGGGAGGGGGATGGGGGGAAGCAGGGACGGAGATGGGGGGAAGAAGGGAAGGAGATGGGGGGAAGCAGGGAAGGGGATTGGGGGAAGTAGGGCAGGGGACATGGGGAAGCAGGGCAGGGGATGAGGGAAGCAGGGAAGGGAACGGGGGGGAACAGGGAAGGGGATGGGGGGGAGCAGGGAAGGGGATGGGGGGAAGCAGGGAGGGGGATGAGGGGGAAGCAGGGAAGGGGATGGGGGGGAACAGGGAAGGGGATAGGGGGAAGCAGGGAGGGGTATGGGGGAAGCAGAGAGGGGGATGGGGGGAAGCAGGGAGGGGTATGGGGGGAAGCAGGGATGGAGATGGGGGGGAGCAGGGAAGGGGATGGGGGGAAGCAGGGAAGGGGATGGGGGGAAGCAGGGAAGGGGATGGGGGGAAGCAGGGAAGGGGTATGGGGGGAAGCAGGGAGGGGGATGGGGGGAAGCAGGGACGGAGATGGGGGGAAGAAGGGAAGGAGATGGGGGGAAGCAGGGAAGGGGATGGGGGGAAGCAGGGCTGGGGATACGGGGAAAGAATGAAGAGGATGGGGGGAAGCAAGGCAGGGGATGGGGGGAAGCAGGGAAGGGGTATAAGTTGGGGGAAGGAAGGCGATTATTGGAGGGAGGGAAAAGAGGGAGTAGGGAGAGAAAAGGGAGGGTGACAAGTGTGCGAGATGGGAAGGGAGACGGGAGGGAAGGCGAGGGCGACGGGGAGTGGATGGCAGGGCGACGGGGAAAGCGAGGGCGACGGGAAGGGAGGGCGACGGGAAGGGAGGGCGACGGGAAGGGAGGGCGACGGGAAGGGAGGGCGACGGGAAGGGAAGGCGACGGGAAGGGAGGGCGACGGGAAGAAGCGGAGAAAGTTTGGGCGTGAAAAACGGGTGAACTACCGGTAAGTAAACGTAGGCTGTCAATATGCCTGCCATTTAGTACAACATGGTTTTCAAGTTTACTGAAAGTGAACAGTGCTCCATTGCCCTCCGACCCTTTACTCGGTATGATTGGTTTTGTCGCTGGCCAATCATGGAACAACGTCGCAAAACCTCCCCTCTGGATCGCGACGGATATCCTCCACTTCGGGTGGTAACATGGTTTTTTGCGAAGTCATATTCAGGAATCTTGAACTTGAAAATTGCCATGCAGAACTCGGGCTTTAAGACATGCTTATTAGGACATGACTTTAATTTATGTGTGAGATCATATATGGGGGATGACAAGGCTTTTTTATTTATGAGATAAAAAAACATAACCTCACTAAGTGTATTGATTGTTTTTGCAGGCAATACACGTAAGATGATTTATTTTTTATTTCACGATTCATCTGTGTTACGATGTGGAATTGTTGGTGAACATACATGAAGTAACCAAGTATCAGCTCGGCGCGAAAATGACTGCAACGAGGGCGAAGACCGAGCACCAGCCAATAATTAAAGACGGTTGAAAGCAGGAAGAATTTGAAATGCAAGAGCGGGAAAGGGAAATGTTCTCACTGTTACTGTACCGCGTGCAGTTACCAAACTTGTGTCAAATTATAATGTTGTGTAGGCTATAGTGGGGTAGCCTATATGGGGTACAGATTTCTAGGGTTGCATATTTGTATCACTTTCGTTCCTTAGTCAATCATTCTCGTTTCAGTTTTCTCATGGTATCGAGCAGGTTCCCTAGTGGGAATTGTGCCTAGGGCCCACCACATCGATTTTTTTCCTGCCCGGAGCGCGCTCAGCCCGAGTCGCGCTCCTCTCTCTCACTGCGTCGCGCCGCCCTAGCGGCCCCGTCACCCTGACGGCCCCATCGTCCTAGCGGCCCCGTCGCCTAGCCCTACGGCCCCGTCGCCTCGCCCTACGGCCCCGGTGCCGCCCTGTCCCGGCCCCGCCGCCCTTCGCTGCGGCCCCGCCGCCCTTCGCTGCGGCCCTGCCGCCCTTCACTGCGGCCCCGCCGCCCTTCGCTGCGGCCCCGCCGTCCTTCGCTGCGGCCCCGCCGCCCTTCACTGCGGCCCCGCCGCCCTTCCCTAAGGCCCCACCGCCCTTCGCTGCGGCCCCGCCACCCTTCGCTGCGGCCCCGCCGCCCTTTGCTGCGGCCCCGCCGCCCTTCGCTGCGACCCCGCCGCCCTTCTCTGCGGCCCCGCCGCCCTTCGCTACGGCCCCGCCGCCCCTCTCGCTGCGGCCCCTCCGCCTACCTTGCGACTCCGCCGCCCTTCGCTGCGGCCCCGCCGCCTACCTTGCAGCTCTGCCGCCCTTCGCTGCGGCCCCGCTGCCCCTCTCGCTACGGCCCCGCCGCCCCTCTTGCTGCAACCCCGCCGCCTACCTTACGGCCCCGCCGCCATTCGCTGCGGCCCCGCCGCCCTTCGCTGCGGCCCCGCCGCCCTTCGCTGCGGCCCCGCCGCCCTACAGAGCCGCCCGAGCCGCCCGAGCTGTACGTTCCGCCCGAGCCGCCCGAGCCGCCTGAGCCGCAGAGGAGCCTAGCCGCTGGTGCCGCCGAGCCGCAGTTACTGCTGAGCCGCCCGAGTCGCCCGAGCCGCCGTGTTGACATGCTGCTGTGCTGCCGAGCTGCCCGAACCTCCCTGTCTGGTGAGAGCAGCGCTTTTGTCACTGCACTGCCCCTGTCCTACAGTTAGCACTGTTAGCCTACTGCTGTCATGGCCACCCCCAGTGTTCTCGCTTTTGACGCTGAGGGTCGGGCCATTGACTTTGAGGTCTGGAAAGATGACTTGCAGCTTTTCCTACAGTGCGATAGGACAGACGGTCTCTCCCTCTTTGACCTCACCTCTGGTGCCTTCCCTGCCCCTGCTGCCGATGCCGACGCCACTGTTCGCTCCCAGTGGGCCACTCGCGATGCTGTTGCACGTCTTGCTGTGCGTCGCCACCTGCCTACCACTGAGCGCGCACACTTTAGTCAGTACAAGAGTGCTCAGACCTTGTAAGACGCCGTAGTTGCGCGCTACTCTTCCCCTGCCACTGCTGCACTGAGCCGCCTCATGCTGCCGTACCTCTTCCCTGACCTTGCTGCCTTTCCCACAGTCGCTGACCTCATTACGCACCTCCGCACTAGTGACACTCGCTACCGCGCTGCGCTTCCTGCTGAGTTCTGCGCCAAGAACCCCCCCCCCATGTACATCACTCTCTATTATATAGTCACCCGCCTCCGTGACTCCCTTCGTGTAGTCAGGGACCACTTCCTCTCGAACTGTCCCACCACTCTCATTGTTGACCTCCTAGAGAAGGCCCTCCTAGCAGCGGAGAAGAGCATAGTCGCTGTAGGAGCCTCTCGTGGTGACCCTCGCACCCCCATCTTTGAGGGGTGTTCCCCTTCCCCCCTTTTGCCCTCTGTCGCCTCTGCTGCTGCGGCCGACCTTGTTGGTCTTGAGTCGGTCGGTACGGCGTCTGCCCCTAGCGGGAGACGCCGCTCAGGCAAGGGCAAAGGGGGCAAGGGCGCGGGTGGAGCTAGCGGGGGTGGCGAAGGTGGTGGTGGAGGCGGCGGAGGGAGTAGGGGTGGCGGTGGGAGTGGTGGCGGGGGTGGAGGTGTTGATGGCAGCAGTGGAGGCGGAGGCGGCGGAGGCAGTAGCTGTGGGAGCGGACGCGACGGTGGTGGCGGAGGTGGAGGAGGCGGTGGTGGAGGGGGTGGAGCTGGTCGGGGTGGCGCTTCGCAGCGGAGCGGCTCCGGTGGTGGTCAGCGCCAGCAGCAGCAGCAGCGTTCTCGGGACATCCCCCCCCCTGAGCAGCTCCGTGAGTGGTACGCTGCGCCTCAGCGTGGTGGGGGTTTTGGTCCGTGCACTAACGTCCTTCGCACCGGCGACCGCGCGGGTGAGCAGTGTGGGGGTGCCCACTCCACCCAGCGCTGCTTTGGCCGCCTGATGGACGCTTGGCGTCACCAGTTCCCGGAGGCCGCTGAGATCCCCCGCTGGGGAGAGCTGTCTAGGGCAGGTGTAGCTATCTTTGATCTTGACTTTGATGCTATTCTTGCTGCCATGTATGCTGTGACTTATAGTGACGAGGGTGACTGTTACCGGTGTTTCCCGCCCGATCCGGGCATTGAGGCTGCTGCTCTAGGTGCTGGTGAGGCTGCTGCTCTAGGTGCTAGTGCGGCTGTTGCTCTGGGTGCCAGTGCGTCTGCGTCCTCAGGTACTGGTGAGTCTGCGCTCTCAGGTACCGCGTCGGCTTCGGCCTCCCTCACCTTCACACTAGACTCAGGGGCTTCTCGCTCCTTCTTTCGAGACCGCACCACACTCACGCCGCTTGGCTGGCCGGTTGCAGTCTCCCTGGCAGACCCCTCTGGGGGTCCTGTCCTCTCTCACTTCTCCACTGTCCTCCCGTGTCCGGCTGCCCCCTCTGGCACCTTGTCTGGTCTTTACCTCCCCTCGTTCTCTACGAACTTGGTGAGTGTTGCTGACCTGCAGGATGTGGGGGTTCACCAGTTTACTCCTGCGAGTCAGCGGGTGACCCACTGCTCGGACACTAGCACAGGCCGGCACCTGGCCACGTTTACGCGTCGGCCGGGGTCGAGCCTCTACACCTTGACCACTGAGTCTCCTCCTGTCCCTGCGTCTGGTCAGGTAGCTGCGTTGGGTCAGGTGTTTGCTGCTGCGTCCAGGTCTGGTCCTGAGTCTGCCCCCTGCTCGTGTCGCCTCCTGTCTCACGAGACTCTCTTGTGGCACCACCGTCTTGCTCACCCCTCCCTGCCTCGTCTCCGAGGCATGGCTTCCCGTGTCCTTGTCTCTGGTCTTCCCCGGTCCCTCCCTCCCCTTCCTTTGGGGCCTGGTCCTTCCTGTGTCCCCTGTGTCGAGGGGCGGCTACGCGCTGCTGCTCACTCCTCTCCGTTTCCCCTGACAGAGGCCCCGCTGCAGGCGCTTCACATGGACGTGTGGGGCCCGGCCCGCGTCCGTCGACAGGGTCACGAGCGCTACTTTGTGCTGGTGGTTGACGACTACTCGCGTTACACCACAGTCTTCCCCTTGCGCAGCAAGGGCGATGTCACTGAGGTGTTGATCGATTGGATCCGCGCAGCTCGTCTCTAGCTCAGGAGGAGCTTCGGCTCGGACTTTCCTGTTCTGCGTCTGCACTCTGACCGAGGTGGAGAGTTCTCCTCTGGCCTTCTGCGAGCCTACTGTCGTGCACGAGGCATCCGCCAGACCTTTACGCTTCCGGACTCTCCACAGGAAAATGGGATTGGTGAGCGCCGCATTGGCATGGTCATGGACGTCGCTCGTACGTCCATGATGCATGCGGCTGCCCCCCATTTTCTGTGGCCGTTTGCGGTTCGGTACGCGGCGCATCAGATCAACCTTCACCCCAGGGTCTCCCGGCCGGAGACCTCCCCAGCTCTGCTGTGGATGGGGAAGGTCGGCGATGCGTCTGCGTTCCGTGTCTAGGGATCTCGGGCGTTTGTCCGCGACTTGTCTGCGGACAAGCTGTCCCCTCGTGCTGCTCCCTGTGTCTTCCTTGGCTTCCCCCCTGACGTGCCAGGGTGGCAGTTCTACCACCCCACCTCTCGTCGTGTTCTGTCCTCTCAGGATGTCACGTTTGACGAGACGGTCCCCTACTACCGCCTCTTCCCCTACCGCACTCCTTCCCTCCCCCCGCCACCGCTCTTCCTTGTGCTAGGTCCCCCCCCGGTAGACCCTCTCCCCCCTCAGGGTCCTGCCCCTTCAGGTGTGTCCCAGGTAGACGCGGTCGAGCCGGTCGAGGATACTGGTGACTCTGGTGCTGCTGTGGGTGCTGAGCCTGGGGGTGCTGACTCTGGGGGTACTGCGCGGGTGGGTACTACGCCTGGGGGTGCTGGGCCTTCGGGTGGTACTGCTGGGGGTGCTGAGCTTGGGGGTGCTGCGCCTGGGGGTGCTGAGCTTGGGGGTGCTACGCCTGGGGGTGTTGAGCCTAGGGGTGCTACGCCTCGGGGTGCTGAGCCTGGAGGTCCTACGTCTAGAAGTGCTGAGCCTGGAAGTGCCACGTCTGGAGCTGCTGAGCCTGGGGGTGCGGAGCCGGCGGCCGCTGGGCCTTCTCGTGTGGCGTCTGGCGGTGCTGGGCCTAGAGGCTCTCCGGGTGCTTCGTCTCAGCGGGAGCCACTCTCTCGATAGGAGCTGCGTGAGTGGTTTGCCCGGCGCTGGAGGCGTACTAC